AAGCAGGTTTACAATTAAAAAAGTAATATTTTTTCAAATTTTTTTTCTATGTAATGAGATTGATCAAGCATAATTCCATCAACGCACTTTGTGATTTTCATGCCAAGAATCACATTTGCTTGACCCAAGTCTTTCATATCAAAATTTCTATTGAGTGAAGCCTTGGGAGTCTCAATAACATATAAGCTAGTGTCAAAATCAAAAGATCATCAATATATAAAGCAAATAATAATATGTTCACCATTTTCAGACTTTAAGTAACTACATTTGTCACTCTCATTAGCCTTAACCCCATTAGCTAAAACACACTGATCAAAAATTTTTGTGACATTGCCCATATAAAGATTTAGTTAATTTACAAACTTTATTTTCATGACCTTGTTGAAGAAACCCTTCTGGTTGGTCCAAATAAATTTCTTCATCTAGATCACCATTCAAAAAAGCTGTTTTTACATCCATTTGATGCATTTCTAAATTATGTATAGCAGCTATAGATATTAGCAATTTTATGGATGTAATTCTAGAGACAGGAGAAAACATATTAAAGAAATCTAAATCTTCTTTTTGTTTAAAACCTTTAGCTACCAAGCTCGCCTTATACTTATCTATCGTTCCATCAGATTTGAACTTTCTCTTTAATATCTATTTGCAACCTATAGTTTTACATCCAGGAGGTAAATCTACCAATTTCCATATTTTGTTTGTTATGAGTGAATCATATTCATCATTTACAGCTTCTCTCCATAAGTCAGAATTGGGAGATGTTAAGGTTTCTTGTAAGTTGATTAGATCCCCTTCAACATTATAAACAATGTAATCTTAACCAAAAAAATTTTCTACTCTACTCCTCTTACTCCTCCTAGGTTCATATTCTTTTTGTTCTATATTTTCGGTCAATGATGAACTAGGAATATCACTAGACTTTGGCATATTATCATCACCCCTACTATTTTTATATTTAAAAGGGAATTTATCTTCATGAAATATAGCATCTAGTGATTCAATTACCACATTATTCTCTAGGTCTAAAAATTTATATGCTTTACTAGCTAGTGCATATCCAATGAATACACATCTAGTCATCCTAACATAAGCTAAACAACCCCATACTCTAATGTAATTCAAATTAGGCTTTCTTTTTCTCCACAGTTCATAAGGAATAACTAGATTTTGTTTACGAGGAACTCTATTCATAACATAATTTCCAGTTAAAACTGTCTTTCCCCACATATTTTTAGCTGCACTAGAACTAGCTAACATAACATTGATTAAGTTGATCAAAGTTCTATTTTTACGTTCAGCTACACCATTAGATTGAGGAGAGTATGGTGGTGTAGTTTCATGAAATATTCCTAAAGACTGTATATGTTCAATTAATCCAAGTGATTCATACTCTCTACCTCTATCACTTCTAAATCATTTAATTTTTTTATCAAAACGATTTTCTACTTCTTTAATAAAAATGGTGAGTTTTTCAAAAGTATCACTTTTATTTTTCATAAGATAAACCTAAGTGTATTTTGAAAAGTCATCGATGAAAGTTATAAAATATCTTTTTCCACCACAAGTCAAAATTCCTTCAAATTTACATATGTCCGTATGTATCAATTCTAATAATTTAGAATTTCTTTCTACTTTGACGTAAGGCTGTTTTGTTATTTTTGTCGTGTTACAATATTCACATTTTTCAAAATTATTGTGTAACCTAGGCAATAAACCTATATGACTCATATTTTTCAAATATTTGCTATTAGCATGACAAAGACAAGCATGCCACATATTCACACAAGAAACAATGTAAACGGAAGAAGTAGTTTTATTCATTTCAACATTTAACTTAAACATACCATCAGAAGCATAACATTTTCCAACAAATGACCCATTCTTGGTCAAAACATATTGATCAGATCCTATGGTTTAACCAGTTTTATTTAAAAGATAACCAGAAGCCAAATTCTTTCTGATTTCAGGAGTGTGAAGAACATCTCTTAGGGTCAAAATTCGGCCAGAGGTAAATTTGAGTTGGACATCTCCCATGGCCAAAACACTCACAATATGTGAATCACCAATCAACACTTTTTTATCATTTTCAATGGGAGAGAAACACTTGAACCAAATTTTATCATGACAGACATGCTTGGAAGCTCTAGAATTTGCCTACCAACTTTCACTATTCTCAATAAAATTAACCTTAGTAATCATGGCAACAAGTGATTCCTTAGTCACATTAGCTTGAGAAGCAAAACCCCGTTTTTTAAAATGACAATCTTTTGCAAAATGGTCAGACTTTCCACACACAAAACAAGCATCATTATTTGACTGCTTATTTGTATTATATGGTACTTGTTTGGAAGGGGGTCCTTGGTTTGGTACTTGGTTCCATTTCTTTTGAAAATGGTTTTTATTTGAAGCCCTATTAAGCCTTTTCATGTTATTACCTCTATGCTTCAAATAGACACTGTTTCCATTATTTTGACCCTTAGAGGTGTTATCATTAGATGAAATAAAATGTACCTTATTGTTGTTTCCATTACCATTGAGATTCCCATTAGTGTTATTGGTCTTGTCTTGGTTTATGGCCTCTTCCTCAATTCGAAGCCAAGCCATTAGATTTACCATGCTTAATTCTGACTAATTGAGCAAATAATTGCGACAATTATCTTCGTAAATCTCCTATAGTGCTAAATTATTTTCATGCTCTGCTAACTCTTCTACAGTCATACCTTCCTTGTTCACCTTCTTTGGATTTTTCTCTATGAGAATCCATACGACCTTCATCAATTTGAGATAGAACAAAACTTTCTTCGTCTCCCACCCCTGCGCACGTGAGAGTCTCAAGATCTCTTTTTAATTCAAAGGCTAGATAACACTAGTGTATATATATATATATATGTACTTTTGGATATTTAATCGATGTGGAATTGAGTTCCCACATATAAAAAACATTCTTTTAGTTAAAATATTCTAACAGTTAATAACACTTGACAATAACGAAGATGATCCTCTCTGGGAGATTGCAGCTTTCATCGAAGATATACGACATGATTTCCAAGCAATGGCAGCTGATTTTAAGCTTTCAACTAAGAGGAGCAAACACAGCAGCCAATTTGGTTGCAAAATCAGCATCCACTCATTAACTTTCGAGGGATTAGGTGACTAATGTCCCACAAGAGTTGAGTACTATCCTGTTACATGACTTTAATGACCTGGGTAATTAATGAAAGTAGTTTTTTTATTCAAAAAAAATAATTTTATTGATCTTATTTATTAATTTAATTATTTTTAGAATAAATTTCATTGACACTCCCTAAAAAATAACCTAATTATAGAGACACCCTTTTATTGTTTTTGAAATATCATTGTCACCTCCTACTATGCGTTTGTTACACATACTACTCCTACCATCAAGGCCAAAAAGTGATGTTGTCAGCGAATCATCCCTCTTAAATGATAATTTTGTCCTCTAAATGTAAATTTATAACATATTATTCCTATACCCAAACATCCCTTCTTCTCTTTTTGAACAATACTAATTGTACACCCAAAAAGTTTCATCTCTCTCTCTCAACTTGGCCACTCGAAAAATATTAGCCCAACATATAATTTTGATTTTGAATTCGATTCCAATTTCAAAATAAAATCAAAAAATACTTGAAGCTTGATATCAATATACACTAGCACGTGTACACACACAAACACACTTATCAATTGAATATTAAATTTGACGAAATTAAATATTAAATTGAAGGCTAGTTTGATGAAACTAAATGCTAATCGAATATAAATTTGATAAAAGTGGATGTTAATTGGATAAAATTGATTATTAATTTAATTATTTTTTGAGAGGGAGAGGAGAGAGAGGGAAAAGGGGATTTGAATTCTTGGCCTTAAGAAGACAACGCCTTTACAATGTAAGGAGTACCAATGGATCAAAGGGCCATTGGTAATTATTAATTTAATAAAATTGGATGTTAAATTGAATGTAAAATTGATAAAAGTGAATGTTAATTGAATAAAATTTATTGTTAGTTTAATAAAATTGGATGTTAAATTGATGAAATTGAATGCTCATTTGATTGGATTGAATGTAAATCGGATAACATTGAAACTCAATTTTCATAAAAATTAAATTTAGAATTAATTAAACTTAATGTTAATTTTGTGTTAGACTCCAATTGCACCACCACCATAATCCAAGTTTCATCAATTGATTGTTAATTTATTGCAATTAAATGTTAATTTATTATTAATTTGATGAGATTCAATGTTTAATTTTGTGTTGAATTGATAAAATTAAATGTTAATTCGGTGAAATTGAATGTCAATTTAGTGTTTAATTTGGTGATATTAAATTTTAAATTGATGAAATCAATGATAATTGAATAAAATTAAATTTAAAATTTATGAAATTCATTATTTTTGTTGGATGGAGTGCGTGAGAGAGAGTGAAAATGGTCATTTTCACGGGGTGTCAATTAAATTTATCATATTTTTTATTATTAAATTGATAGTAGGTTTTATTATTGATTGGGATCCACAATCAATTCAATAATCTATCTAATATTATATATAAGAAGTTAAATTATCAATTTATAAAAGCATAATAACAATTAAGATTAATCCAAATTTTATCTTATTTGATCAAATAGTACAAAATTTATTTTTTTTGCTTGTTACAAAATATCATCTTTTCTACACTACTTCCAATGTTAGACAACTCAATCAATACATTCCCTAACGATAAACAACCACAATAATCCACACTTCCTCTCTCCTCTCTCTTTCTTATCTCTTTTTATTTTTTTTTCTGTTTATTTTAATTTTAAATTATGTAATTAAGGAAAGAAAAGAAATAATAAATTATAATTTAAAATATTTAAAAATTTTGTACTATCAATACTTGATTTTATGTATTATAGAGTATTTTCAGCTACGAGATTATTGCAAAATCGACAAATTGCTGGAGTAATAAATGAGATCGATGTCTATACAATAAAGAGTTATGAATTTGAATCTTATCTCTCATAGCATTTTTCGTTTATTTCTATCACAAGTTAACTTATTTAATTTTTAATTAATTTATGATTTAATGTAATTTGTAATTCAGATATTATTCATATACGATATTGTATACATGCTAATATTTTTTTAGGTAACACATTTTAAGAAAAAAATGCCGATATACATTTTAAAAATAATAGGTAACAATTTATTTTAAATTATGTAATTTGAAGAAAATAAAGAAAAAAAAATTATTATCGATCACTCAAATTTAATGTTAGATTGTACTTTCAGGGATGGGGTTATGACAAGTGATTTGATAATTGCGATGATTGAAATTAGGAAAATTTGGGAAAGTATCAAATTGAGTGGATCCAAATTCCAAATGCGGATCAGAGTTTGGAGCACAGAACCCTTTCGCTGAATTTTATAGCTACAACAAAAATTGAAGGACAGAGCACCTTTACCCTGCTCAGGTTCTGGCGGGAACATCTGTGTGTGTGTGTGTGTGTGTTAGAGAGAGAGAGAGAGAGAGAGAGAGAGAGAGAGAGGCCATTGGTGACACGAAAAGATCAAAATGGGATCAGAAGCTCCTCTCCCCAAATGGGCATCTAAGCCTTGCATCATGGGCATTGATGAAGCTGGTCGCGGTCCTGTTTTAGGTCATTCCTCTTATATTTTTGACTCAATTTCTTCTTTTTTTTTAAGTATTTATTCTCTGAAGATCATTTTATTTATATATTCGGAGTACAGGACCAATGGTGTATGGATGCTTGTACTGTGCTCTCTCATACCAGAAGACTCTTTCCTCTTTGAACTTTGCAGGTTAGCCTTGCTTTTCCCTTCCCTTTCCATTTTTCAAACTTCACCCGAATGTGGGGTTTTTTTTAGTTCTTTGCAATATGTGAAAATGTGGGTTTTTAACTATTTGTTTTATTTGCATCATAATCCAAAACAATAATTCTATTTGGGCTTAATTTGCAGATATAATTTGCTGACTTAATCAATCACAACCATTTTGGTTGTGTGGGTTCTAACAAGTACTGGTGTTCATTGTCAATCCAATGGTTGTGAATGATTATGTCTGTAAATTAGGTCCAAGTAGTATTGCCGAATCTGAAGTATTGCATTATCTTCTGAAATAACCATTAGTCATGAGTGCAGGAAGCAAGCAATTTTGTTAGGTTTAGATGATTTCATAGTGGAAATTTGAATGTATACTAAAAACTACTGTGATGATTTTGTTTTCAAAATCTTCAAGTAAGCCACAATACGAGAACCAACTACTAAGTAGACCAAAGACTGACCCCACGAAAGTTGGGTTTTATAGAATAGGAGATTTCACTGGTAGAATAGAAACAAATTTTGCTGGAGGGAGTAATTTTGGGACAGCAGAAATGACATAGGAGTATGTGCAAGTAGGAGGTCATAGATTGACGTAGTCATGGCATTCTACTAATTCTCAAAGTTGCCTTACATAAGTGTGTCCTGGATTAGAAAAGCATGCAAAAGTTCTGCATTTTAGGTATAGAAAATGATGAAGTGCTTACAAGGGATTCATTAAATAGGATACTTGTGTACGTGGATGTTAGGTGAATGCAAAGGCCGGTATGTGTATTCGAATTTGGATTTTGGCTCACTCAAAACATGATTATCTCATTCTTTCCATCATATGATAAAATTGTCGAAAGACATGATTTCCCTTAATAATTAGTGAGAAGTACAAATACTCAATATTCCTCCCTTCACCAAACTACCATATACACGCTCATGGAAGGAAGGGCCTTACTCAGGTTAATCTAGATCTATGAGAAGCCTAACACATATGAAGGAAGAAGGACATAATTTTCACTTAATAGGTAGCGTCATAGTTATTACTTATTAGTATCATATTACGTGAGATGTTTTTTTTAAGCCCTAGCCAATGAAATGACATCGTTTCAGCGGCTAGGGATTAAAAAATAAAACCCTTCTTTAGTTCTTTTGATCAATGAAGACTAGAAGCAACTTCTGCCTCTTTGGATCTTCAAAGTAGCAGAAACCCCTTGTAATCCATCGCACAGCAGAAGCTCTTTCGAAGTTTGAATTAGAGGTCTTTGTATTTTGATATTAGTGAACTATATTGAAAACTTGAACAGTTAGGTGAAATATTAATGAAATGCTATGTTATTATGAGTTTTTGACTTTTTTTTTACAAATATATGTATATATATTTATTAATAATTATTTAGAAATTGTGCATATCTTACGATATACGATATTATATGATACATGATACACTATTTTTAGAAAACGATACGTCTTCCGATACACGATTTGACAACCATGTGTAGCGTGTAGCACACATTCTCACTATTCATACCTTCACCAAACTACTGTATGCAAGCTCATGAGAGGAAAGGGCGTGACTCAAGTAAATCCAGGTCTATGAGAAGCCTAGCACATATGGAGTAAGAAAGTCGGTAGTGGGTGAGATTTCATTCTTGTTGAAAGATTTGAAAATGCAGAAGCCATGAATAGACACTATATAACAATTAAGAAAAAAATTCAGATACACTACAAGAGTATGTGGTGAGATGCAGCAAGAGAATCCTGATGTTTTACTTACCAAAAGAAAGGGAATCCATATGTTTTCATTCTCTTTGGGTACTGTTTGGAATTCCCATCTAATACTTTGAAACATCTAGTGTATACTGATGTATATTGCCTGGTAGAATCCAAAGAGATTTTAGTGAATGTTTTGAGGCTAAGCTAAAGGCTTTGTTGAGTAGAGTTTGGGGCTAAGCTAGCATGTTATAATCTTTCATTAGCAACTCCAGGGATTTCTTGAATTTTCTTATTTATATTGTCCTTTCTTGTCTTTCCACTATACCGTAATTATCATATCAACTCATTATCCCTTAAGCATGAATCTTATGGTAGTCTAAATATTGATCTGTAGGCTTCTGTTTTTGGTTCTGTAATATGGACTACACAAGAGGTAGCCCTTCTTTTGGTAAAAGAGATACCACTTAAGCTATATAGCTTCTGGCATCCTTAATATAGTTGCTTTTTGCATTGTTTTAGGTTTCACTTCACCCTGTTAGAATCTGAGGGGTCACCTCATATTGGAATACCAATTATTCTGCTAGATCTTTGAGCAGAGACAGCTTGATGAAT